TTATTTTAAGACACTTCCCAACATATACATCAATGGTTTAGTCAAATAATTCACCTTTAACTACATAATAATACTGCATGTCAGTAAAAATTTCTGTATATATCCAGCACCCCATTCCTACCTATAAATATTATAATTTTATTTCCTTTAATAGTGCCTTAATGTTAAAGGGTTCTTGATCCTAAGAATAAGAACTACCCCCCCTTTCTTTGGATCAAACCTGATTACTCTCCATTCCAAAGGTGCTTATGACCTTTATGGGTTTAATGCTTTATGATGATTATAATTTTATTAATGAAAAGTGCAACTATAAACACCTGAAGGTCATTAAGTGCTGCAAGACCAGGTAAGTAAGGTTTGACAGGTGAATAAATGGTTTAGACAACCAATTGTGCAACATTTGGGTATCTTCATTCTGGAAGGCAGAGCTGTATGACTTAAGCTCTTGTTTTTATTATTATTATTTTTATTATCACACTGGCCAATTCCCACCAAGGCAGGGTGGCCCGAAAAAGAAAAACTTTCACCATCATTCACTCCATCACTGTCTTGCCAGAAGGGTGCTTTACACTACAGTTTTTAAACTGCAACATTAACACCCCTCCTTCAGAGTGCAGGCACTGTACTTCCCATCTCCAGGACTCAAGTCCAGCCTGCCGGTTTCCCTGAATCCCTTCATAAATGTTACTTTGCTCACACTCCAACAGCACGTCAAGTATTAAAAACTATTCGTCTCCATTCACTCCTATCAAACACGCTCACGCACGCCTGCTGAAAGTCCAAGCCCCTCACACAACAAAACCTCCTTTACCCCTCCCTCCAACCTTTCCTAGGCCGACCCCTACCCCGCCTTCCTTCCACTACAGACTGATACACTCTTTAAGTCATTCTGTTTCGCTCCATTCTCTCTACATGTCCGAACCACTCAACAACCCTTCCTCAGCCCTCTGGACAACAGTTTTGGTAATCCCGCACCTCCTCCTAACTTCCAAACTACGAATTCTCTGCATTATATTCACACCACACATTGCCCTCAGACATGACATCTCCACTGCCTCCAGCCTTCTCCTCGCTGCAACATTCATCACCCATGCTTCACACCCATATAAGTGTTGGTAAAACTATACTCTCATACATTCCCCTCTTTGCCTCCAAATACAAAGTTCTTTTGTCTCCACAGATTCCTAAGTGCACCACTCACCCTTTTCCCCTCATCAATTCTGTGATTCACCTCATCCTTCATAGACCCATCCGCTGACATGTCCACTCCCAAATATCTGAATACATTCACTTCCTCCATACTCTCTCCTTCCAATCTGATATCCAATCTTTCATCACCTAATATTTTTGTTATCCTCATAACCTTACTCTTTCCTGTATTCACTTTTAATTTTCTTCTTTTACACACCCTACCAAATTCATACACCAATCTCTGCAACTTCTCTTCAGAATCTCCCAAGAGCACAGTGTCATCAGCAAAGAGCAACTGTGACAACTCCCACTTTATGTGTGATTCTTTATCTTTTAACTCCATGCCTCTTGTCAAGACCCTCGCATTTACTTCTCTTACAACCCCATCTATAAATATATTAAACAACCACAGTGACATCACACATCCTTGTCTTGTTATTATAATAATTCATTCTGGAAACATTTTGCCAGCCAGTAGCTTCTTCAGTCCAAGAGAAAGGTGGAAGATGAGTAGTTTGAGGTAATCAGTCCCTCAGCTACATGTTCAGTTTATCAAGACTGATGGACTGAACACATTGATTCCAGGCTGAGGGACAGATTACCTCAAACTCCTCCTTATCTTCCACCTTTGTCTGCACTGGACTGAAGAAGCCACTGGCTGGGAAAACATTTCCAGAATAAAGATACCCAAATGCTGCACAAGTGTCTCATTTGTCAAGGTTTAACATCAAGAGTACAGTACTGAGGACTAGTACACAAGGAGAATCAGGCATTGCAATAAGCTCTGAATATAAAGTCATAGAATCTACATCAAATTTCAGAGACGAGCAGAGAAAACATGTCAGGATGATGAACAACAAGTTATAAAGTCAGTATAGTCTGTGATATACACTGCAGTCATTTGAAAGATGCAAGACTTAAAAGGTGGCATAGGTTGCCCCTTCTTGACAGCACTGTATGACTCTGTGGGTTCAGCATTTAGTTTTGATTATAATAATAATAATAATAATAATAATGCTCCTTCTTGAGATAGCCATGAGTGAGTGTTATGTCCAGTACACCTTCATAAGTTAACTGTATCCCACAAGCACCAACAACATAGTGTGGATAGCCAGAAGCCCAGGTGGTCATGGTTAGTCATCACTCAGACTAATGATACTACCAGAAACCTATGGACGAGTATCATCCCAAAATGCCATAAACTACAGTCTCATTAATGACCTGTCTAGAATGAGCCAGTAACCTTTCTGCTGTGTTCCTCTATTAAATTCTTATGACTCACACACAAAAAGGAAGTTATGTCTATAAAAAAAAAAAAAAGCAAAAGACTGGGCCTGGAATAAGATGTAACATTACCATTTAGTGCCATAAGCCTTCTCAAGATCGAAAAAGGCAGCCATAATAAAGTGATAATTAGCAGTAGCACAGCAAATATAAGTCTTAAGTTAAAAAAGTAAGTTTGTATTAGAATGACTCTTCCAATAATTAAACTGAAAGGGGTCAGGCAATTATGGGTCTCCATGTACCACACAGCATCATAAAAAACAGTTTGTAAGAACAATGGGCCAAGTCCACTCCACTGCATCGAACTTGCATTGGCAGACCAGCTGTTGTCAGCCACTGAATGAGGATATCACATAACCAAATACACAGAAAAGTTAATGCCAAAGGATGTTCCGGCTAAAACACCTGACCATGTGCGACAACTGATCCTGGCAGCCGCCTGAGGTAAGTTGTGCAAAGGCATTATGAGTTTCCACAGTGTAAAAGGTGAAATCTAGCACAACAGATTCCTGTACAGACTTGAACCTTAGAAAGACAGAAGGTAAAACCCCTTGTGATTACAGTAGTTATCTAGCAGTTTGATCTCAATTACCTTTGATTGTGAATCCCTCCAATCACTGGACATATGGCAATTCAGCAGTTAGTATTTATGGAGCTGCATCACTGCTAACTGTGCTATAAGTTTGACCATCTGGAAAATTACTGTACAATGATTATCAATGGCTGACTGCCCTATCTGAGGACTTGCTATCTGCAAATGAAAGAATATGGCATATGGATAGGCATTAACTCACCTCTGACAAGAGGACAGCCTTCTCATCATCCCATATGTCTATACAACCTATTAATTTGACCATTCTACATTGCACTACCAATTTCTTTGCCCCAGTACACAACTTTTTCCAAGTACAGTATAATTTCTTTACATGCACCTGCTTCATTACCTTCCCAATCTTCATTCTCTTATGTTCCTCAGATCCCTTTTAACCCTCACTCCAGTGGTGGAGGTAAAGGACCATATGTGCTTGCTCTATAGTGCCCAACATAGTGGCACACACCCTACCTCTGACTTTAATCCTGTCATGTGTCAGAATGACCACCAAACCTCCAAAAAAGTTTCTATTTCATTTCCCAATACTGCTATTGTAAGATTATATTCCTAGCTTTGCCATTTTCCCAGTTATAAATGTGGTTCATGATATCTCACTGACATATGACAGAAAATATACCTTTTTATATATCACCACTCCAGCATCCAATCACAATATGCTAGATTATATATTTAAGACCAAACACCACAAGCTTAGCCTTGCTCCTATAGCTACAAATAGGTAACCACAAAAACAAATTCCTACTCGAAGCATCCAGCTTTTCAATCTATGAGACACCTAATGTATACTGCAACTTCTGACACCTTTGTTAACTCATCTTCCTATAAAGAACAAAAAGATACAACACCGTGACTGAAACAATACACAAATAACAAGCACATAGGAGAGTGAAGCTTCCGGCAATGTTTTGGTCCGACTTGGACCATTTACAAAGTCACACTAACACGTATATGGTCCAAGTTGGACCAAAACATTGTTGTAAGCTTCTCTCTCCTATGTGCAGGTTGTGTACTTGTCTTCTATGTTCATTCTTTCCCCGTCTCTTGCAAATGGTCATTTGTATCTTCCATGCTTTCATCTCTTAAGCATTTTGTCTCCTTTTGCACATAGACCTCGTTGTTACACCCAGCACTCTGCCTCCGACCTCCAGATTTCCCTAGCTTTGAGTGATTGCATCACTTAATGAGTGCCTTGCTTTGTCATATTTTCTTCAGTTTTTAATATCTTTAACTCACTGGATTCGGGAAACCCGATGAGCTAGACTAGTTCTGGAGGTGGGAAGTATAGTGCATGCACTCTGAAGGAGTGGGGATGTTGCTGTTTGAAGGATTATTTGAGTTGTGATGCCTACTGATTTCTGCCTACCCGGAGGGTGTTTTGGGGGTCAATGTCCCCGCAGTTCGGTCCTTGACCAGGCCTTCCCTATTGAATGAATAGTGAACTTGAACCATGATATCTTGAATGGAAATGACAGAGGTTTTAAAAATAGAGGAGTCTCAGAGAGTAACATGAATAATTGGGAAGAGCTTCAGCTGCTGATTTCTAAATTTACCCCAGTGAATCTATATTTTTATACAGATCATTACCTCCCACGTAAATACTAACACATGGACAACACTATCTAATTTTAGAACATCCCAGTGGCCTTAACCCTAAAGCAACCAAAACAACCATGTATTGGAGTCTATGAAAATAATCCACATTAAACAGTATGGAGATATCTGTGCTATACTGATACTGCTGAATGCAGATTATTGTTAGAGATTACCCTAGAAGTCAGTGTGTGACTGTTTAGGTTTACAGAGAATACCAAATTCAGTTGCAGTATAGCATTTTTTTTTTTTTTTTTTGGGGGGGGGGGGGGGTACTACAAAAACATTAGCCCATTACATAGAAAAAATGCACCTGACTTACCTGAAAATCAAACAAAGGAAAAGGGCAGACCAGGAAAGGTATACCAATGAATGCCATGGAGGGATATTTAGTGTTAATGATGTGCTTGTAGAGAGGCTTAACAACGTTCTCCTCTATGGTGATGCCACACTCTTTCGACAAGAATGGAAATGAAAACAAGTACCCTGGAAGGAAAATGAATGAGAGAGACTTTAATGCTACAATATCTAAAATACACCTGCTTATTTACCCTGAAATACAAGTAAAGAGAATATACAATTAATGTATTATCTAAAGCACACCTATTTACTCTAGAATGAAAATGAAAGAATGTTGAGAAGTACAGTGCCTGCACTCTAAAGTAGGGGTTTGGGATATTTGCTGTTTGGAGTGACATCTAAACTATCACATCTGTGAGCCTCTGGCAAGACAGTGAGTGTAAATGATGGTGAAAGTCTTTCTTTTTCGGGTCACCCTGCCTCGGTGGGAGACTGCCAGTCTTTAAAATAAAGAAAAATCACTGAATTAATAACTATAGTGCCTGAGTACTTTAAACAAATATTCTTTATGGTTGAATCTCGAAAATACCTGATAATTATAATTCTTGAACATACATTTAAAGTATGAAACAGCTAACTTTAGCTCTTTTGTTCGCACCTAACATGACACAGATTATTATATACATTATTATCTATTCATGGGGAAGCACTAAACCTGTAGGGGTTATACAACATCTGGGCATGGGAGATAGTCTGACCCAAGGACAGGGAGGGCAGTTTTAATTACCTGAATCAAGAGCCCTTCACTAACATCAAGGACATCCTTCCTGAAAGGAACATGACTAAAATAAAAGTGACAAGATTTTCTGTAAGTCAAGAAACAATAATATGGTAGGTTTTCATAATTGCAACCCTTGGTGTTGGCAACCATGCAATGCTGAGGCTAGAATACCTTGTGAAAGTGAATATAGTGAGGGAGAGAACATGAATGGACAAACGTGTCTCCAAAGGAGGAGACGTGTGTGTGTGTGTGTGTGTAATTAATTGCAACATTCTCAAGCAGTGCTCATCAACACTTTGAAGATGATCCCTCATCTTACAGCTCATAGTACCTTCTGCTTGAGTACTAAAGATTTTAAGTTATTGTCAATGATGTGTCAATCACACAGGATAACCCAAGAATGAAAAGCAGCATGACTAATTTCTACTGGTCTCATCCTAGGTAATCTACACATATGCTATGTATGATAATTTATGTAACTGTATTTATGTGTACCTGTACCTGAATAAGCTTACTTATCCTAGTTGTGACCTACAATAGACTTTCCCATACATCCCTCCTTGTCTAGGGTTCACCCTGGGTACTTCCAGTCAAGCTGAACACACTACTACTGCATTATAAAGTACTCCTTTATCTGCATATTCTACCTAAATTGAGTTGTAGTATACTGTACCTGTAGTATACTAAAGAGATATTTTGTCTCATGTGATGCCTGTGCATCCTATTACAGATTACAAGTGTAATAAATATGAATTAGCAGTATTACTGAAGTGATGGCAGAGAAAGAAACAGTGGGTTGTATAGTATGAAGATTAGAAACAGGAAGCACAATGCCTGCACTACAAAGTATGAGTGGAGATGTTGCAGTTTGTAAGGTCATCTGAATTGTGATGTCTGTGTACATCTGTGAAGACAGGTACTGAAAGAATGATGTCTTTCTTTATTTGGATCACCCTACCTTGGTATCAACTGTTTCAGAGCCTGGCTGGTAAGAGACTGGCCAGCACATCATAGCTGGAGGATTAAGCTTCCAGGACTGAATGATCACATGGATTTATAAGGCCATGAAATACAATAGTAATGGCAAACATGGATAAAAAAAAAATGTGCTGTATAAATAACCAGTGGTAAGATGCATACTACCTAAATTATCCTTCAACAAGTAAATGAAAAATACTAACAAACAAAATAAAAGCTGAAAATTTTCTCTACTCACCAGTACAATACAAAATAACATCTGCTTCAGCAGAGGAACCATCACCAAACACAAAACCATTTTCCAAAGCAGACTCGACTCCACGAACTTGACGAACATTGGGCGGCAACTCTGATGGTATTGGTGTTGGATGGTTGTGAGAGAGTAACACCTGAAATTTTAACTGAAATATCAGTATACATTACCTAGATTTATTAGGTTTAAGAATAAACTTTTTTTTGATACCTAACCCAAAAGTCTCAGCTACAAATCCTACAAAAGAGTGGGATGAGAAAGAAAGAAGTGGAAAGGTGGAGGGTAAATACAAAAAGGAGCATATTTATTTACCAAAATGATACTTTTTTTTTTTTAAACAAGTTGGCCATCTCCCACTGAGGCAGGGTGACCCAAAAAAGAACAAACGTTTTTCTTCTTTTTACATTCAATAATTTATATAGAAGAAGTTACTGGCGCTTTACCTGGAGAGGGTCTCAGGGGTCAATGCCCCCCACAGCCAGGTCTGAGACCAGGCCTCAACCAGGCTCAACTTAAAATTAAATAAAAGAATAGACGAGGTTATACAAGCAATACTGTGTAAAATAATGGAGATGTATGAAGATATGATAAGTAAGTATGAAGATCATTTCGGTTACAGCATCAAAACTGCTATATCAACAAAAATGGCACAATGTACATTGGTTTAGAAAGACACATATATTATATTTATACACAATATAAACTGCATGAAAATGAGATAACAAGGAACAATGATCACACTAATCAAAAAATACAGGTTATTACCAAACTACACTGAACTACTCTCTAGCTACCATTACTACTATCTAAACAATGAAGATCAGGATAGTAAAGTGGGGAAGATGGAGAGAATGACTTTTCTTTCTGGTGGATAGTAATGCCAATACAGTGGACCCCCGGTTTACGATATTATTTCATTCCAGAAGTATGTTCAGGTGCCAGTACTGAACGAATTTGTTCCCATAAGGAATATTGTGAATTAGATTAGTCCATTTCAGACCCCCAAACATACAAGTACAAACGCACTTACATAAATACACTTACATAATTGGTCGTATTGGGAGGTGATCGTAAAGCGGGGGTCCACTGTATATTCTTCATCTTTACTGTCACATAGTCAGAACATACTTTATAGTAAAGCATTTATGTACATGTACAACTAATGTGACATATGTACATGTACAACTAATGTGGCATTTTATTGTGGCAATGTTTCAGTCTCCAGTAGCTTTGTCCAGCTGTAACAGTTTGACAAAACTCCTGGTGAGAGAAATGTTGCCATAGTATCACATTAGTTGCACATCACATTAGTGATGTGCAACTACCAACATTAATGCAACTTTATATTTGATGGGGTTCAACGTCATTTGTAGTAGCAAAATAAGCTTTGTATCTTCTCATGTTTTCAAAACTGGGAATCCATGCCATTTAGGAGAATCCAGTACATAAATAAAATGCAAACACATACATCTTAACTCCATGGGGATATGGAACAGAATTCTTCCTCTGTAAGCTATGCGTGTCGTAAGAGGCGACTAAAATGCCAGGAGCAAGGTGCTAGTAACCCCTTCTCCTGTATAAATTACTAAATTTAAAGAGTTCTCAACTTGGTGTTTAGATTATTGATTTTCTTTTTAGGTCACCCTGTTTTGGTGGGATATGGTCGGCTTGTTAAAAAAAAAAATCACGTTAAGTTACTACAACATTACAGATGAAAGATTATTAGATGTATTCCCCACACTAACTGTAGTGGCTGTTACAAGCGGACAAAAATCTAAACACAAATTCAGAACTGTTATTCTTCTATCATTTGCTTACCTCTTTTGCAACTGTCGAGAGTTCCAGAGCAATATCCAACCCGGATGCCGCTGCTCCTAGCACCACTACTGTACATCCTTTGTATGAAGATGGCTCTCGATAATCATGGCTGTGACCCTGGCGACCTTGGAACTTTTCAATGTTCTTTATTTGTGGAATTCTTGGAACAGAGTAGTGCCTGAAGGATACAAAAAAGAAGTTGATTCTTAAAAGATATGACGACTTTTCAGTATTGTATAAGTATTTTTTTTTTAACACACTAGCCATCTCCACCAAGGCAGGGTGACCCAAAAAAGAAGAAATGCTTTCATAAAGTTTTTCTTCTTTTTACATTTAGTAATTTATACAGATTGGTTACTAGGTCCTTGCTCCCTCTATGTTTATTTTTTTTTTAACGCGTCGGCTGTCTCCTACCGAGGCAGGGTGACCCAAAAATGAAACGCTTTCACCATATGAACTATGTAGTATATGTATATATCAACCCCAATATACTGTATAGAGTTGTTCCTACAAATTCACAAGGGTTCCTCGTATGCAGTTTATATTATCTAACTGTTTTACTGATGGGCAACCTGTTAATAAATCTGACTATCCATGGGTTTTTTGGCTTTACCCATTTTTTTTCAGGCTAGGCACATGAGCCTTGACCTGAAAACTAACCATGTAACTCCTTACAAATTGTGCCCAAAAGTTTTCCCCAGGCCCATACATTTTTTTCATTATTCTGCTAATATTAACTACAGTAGATGGCGTTCTTTTACAAAGATACATTCTCTGAAACAAAATAAGCCCAAATATGAAATAAAACTTTTAACAAAGACTAGACTTTGCATTAATTTGTAGGGACATCTGCACATCTTTCATCTGTAGATGAGAAATCCAAACCTTTTTGTCTACACCATTCCCTCTTTCTCTTTTACATGTTACTTCCACACTGAAAGCAAAGTGTAGTTAAATTACTGAAGCCACAACAGAGAGAATACGTGGTCTAAAATATAAATAATAAGATGTGTTTACCCATTACACACAAGAAGGGCATCACACGTAGTGGTGGATAACTTCTTGGATTCAAGAGATTTAACTGTCACGTCCCAGGCTGGAGGACCTTCAATCTTCATCACTGGCTTTACTTCCTCCACGTAATGACCAAACTGAAAATTATACATCAAGATAATTGTGTCAATGCAACAAACCCTGTCATCTTGGATTCAATCTGCAACATCCTCAAACAATTTCCCCTCTTGAATTTTTCATTACTCCAACAATATTTCTTCACTTTTCTTGCAGGAATAGTCTCAACTACTGCATATGATTCTAAAAATTATAACAGAGAACATGTTCATTGAACTAGCTATCTTGGGAATGATAGAGTGTTGAACAGACCTTTTTTTTTTTTTTTTTTTTTACACAGGGTTTGACAAGGTTAAGGATCCCTAGCTTTATTGACAAGCTATTTACAGGTTAAGGATTCGTAGCTTTATTGGCAAGCTAAGAGCTGTTACCTACATCAGCTCATTTGAAAGCATTTTTGTTATGAGACATACAAGTAGGGAACAGGATGAAATTGGAGCCATCCGTGGGCCAGCATTTTCATTTGATCAACTGACTTTATCTCGTTGACATCATTATGCTGTACGAATGTGTTCCATACTCGAGTCATCCTGGGTATATATGATCTCAGATGGAGTGATGTTCTGGAGAAGGGTACAGCCAGAGTGAAGTTGCTGCTTTCCGCCAGTCTTGTGGCATAAAAGCTTGTTTCACGCTGTCCTCGAAGTGGATCCAAGTGTGGTACTTTGACAATATTGGTCTTGTACATAACAGTAAGGCTACCCACACCCCTCCTATGTTGAAGGCTCTGCTGAAATGACAGATCTATCCAGGATGGGTCCAGGCGAGAGATGAGATGTCTTGCTCTGTTCTCTACTCTGTCAAGCAGTTGCAGATAGTTGAATCTCTCTCTCTCTCTCTCTCTCTCTCTATCACATTAACCTAAAAAGACTATTAAAATCCAGCATCTTTGTTAAACGTATTCGTGATATATACCTGGAGGGTGTCCCGGGGCTCAATGTTCCTACAGCCCAGTCCACAACCAAGCATCTTTGCAATTACTGTTTGTTCATGTCATTATTTTGATACCTACTAGGGTAGGGATGTGTGTTACAAACTGATATATGGCATACATAAACTATAGATTAGTGGGAAATGCCAGATGTGGTAAAAATAACGAATCTGCATTCCTACCAACACCCATAGGCATCTAGCAAAAAAATTAAGTATAGTCAGATGTGTTTCTCAAATCAAATGAAAAAATAATGTCCCAAGTTTTAAGATTTATTTGGCTCATTTGACAAAACTGAATATGCAACAGGGGTTTTATTATGTATCCCCAGTAAGACTTTTGAAGCCATTAACCATAAAAAAAAATCCTCAAACTATACTACATGTACTATGGAGTGAGAGATCACTTAAGCTCTTCCCAATTTTATCTCAGCAACAGAAACCAGTATACCACTATGAATGATTTGATGTATCCTACTCTTCTTTCAGCATTAAAGTGGACATGTTGAGACCAAATGAGTAAAAAATGCCTGCAGATACACATTTCACTGAAAATGTTTTGTGTGCATCAATGAAATTTTAACTATTTTCAATATGAAATATAATTCTAACCAGAACAAAAGTTATAAGAAAATCAGAAAATCATAGCTTACAAAATGCAGTACAGCCTCTCCTCACTTAAAGACAAAGTCCCATTTCTAAGACCACATCTGTAAATGAATTCGTCACTGAGTGAGGAGCATACTATAATGGTAGTGGGTTTGTGTCTTCTATCTTTGATATTGTTTTAATGTCACCTCTGCACCAATTATAACATTTCTGGTATATTTTTAAATGTTTATACAGTAGTGTACTGTATACTGTAATAAACAGAATAGAGGAAATCAGCTCTAATATACATTATTTAGGCATGCATACTGGTCAGAGAGCCCGTCGTAAGTTCAAGCCATCGGTAAATGAGTGTGTCACTAAGTGAGGAGAGGCTGTACGTACTGTATTTTAAGTACCTTCAATAGATGATTTTATTTAGATTAATAACCCTGAGTGCTAGTAACCCATGATAATTCAATGTAAGTCAGGATGCTACACTCAAGTACCTACTTACTGCTAGGTCAATACACAACATATTAACCCATAAACGGTCCAAATGTATATATACGTTCTCTACTGTAGTGCCCCAACTTTTTTGAGAAAAAAAAAAAATCGCTTTTTAATAGGAAAAAAGAGCATATGGTACCCAGGCATCCCCAATTATTTTAATATGGCACACAGTGAGTGCACACACCCATTCTCTCATGTCTGGGCGACTCAGGCTTATCGTGGCAATGTTGAATGTATGACAAATAAAACGTATATATACGTTTGGGGCACTAGCGGTAAAAATGTATATATACGTTTGGACCATTTATGGGTTAAATACAGCATGTAAAAGACTTAAAAATATATACATCCAAATGTCAAACAAAATATAGAAACAAATAATCTAAGCTCAGACCAACCACAAAATAACAAATAAACCTGAGACATACAAATAATTCAGTACCTTGATATGGGGGTTGATTTTGTAGTGCTCCATGTAACTCTCCAGGTACTGCTGAACCTCAGTGTGATGTATAAAAGAATTATCCCCAGATGGAAAAGGATAATCAGGAAATCCCATTACCTCCTTGGGAAGGTTTGTCCTAAAAAATTAATAATAGTTTTGAGAATCAATAATCAAGAATTATATCTGGAATTAGGTACAGTATTCACATAATTAGGTGAATTAATTTATCATCACACTATTCTAGAGAGAATATATAGACAGTTCTGTAATTAACCCTTTCAGGGTCCACAGGCCCTCTCAGAGACTTGTTCTCAGGGTCCCCCAAATTTAAAAAAAAAAAAAAAAAATCTTATGAAAAGATAGAGAATCTTTTCCCGATCATAATGACACCAAAAGTATGAAATTTGATGGAAAACTTAAGGAATTATGCTCTCGCGAAGTTAGCGGTCTCGACAACGTTTACGCATCGGTGATTTTGCCCAATTTGAGCCCTATTTTCGGCCAATTCCATTGTACTAGTCGACAAAAATCATAACTATTTCGCTAGAGCTCCATTTTTTCTATCGAATGAGTACAAGAAACCACCCATTTACCGATTTCAACTATCCAATACAGTGGTCAGAATTTAGCAACTTTCCCAATTTCACACAAATTTCAAAATATGCCAATTTCCAAATAGGGTCCAGAATAAACAAGAGAGACATTCCTGGCACTAAAATAACATTTCCTCTGTTCATTAGTCACGTCCCCAGGCCCCTCTTACATTTTTTTTGCTTTCCACTTTGAATTTTTATTCTCACAAAAAAAAATAAGATTTTCTGTTATGCAGACTACTGCATTAGTGTAGAAATGGTAAAAATAACATCGGCGCACTTGTGAAAGAATATTAGACTCACCAGTTGACGTGTATTGGACGCTTAGCATGATTTGTTGACTTTTGAACTTTGGTAAAAATCGAACATTTCTGCTACTTTGAGCTCAATTTCAAGGTACTTTTCATTGTAAAACCAGTCAAAATCATCTCAATTTCTGTAATATGTCTTCCATTCTATAAAATGAGACCAGGAAAACTAGAATACAACAATAAATACCATACGAAAATATAGTGCAAAGTCTCTGTTTTAATCCAAAAACACTCAAAGTTTTTTTTTTCTCATTGTGCACTGCAAGATTTTTTTTATACTGCGCACACTGACCACATAGACCCATTCTTTCATATGTAGGCCTACCAGCTTTCTCTTACTAGATTTGAAGGTGCTAGAATTCATGCGTACTAGTACGTCATGGACGCTGGTGCGTAAGCCGTACTAGTACGTCCGAAACCCTGAAAGGGTTAAGTATACATATGCATACAATATTAGGTGTATTAATTTATCATCACACTATTCTATACAGTAAAAAAGAAGAGTATGTATATATATATATATATATATATATATATATATATATATATATATATATATATATATATATAATATATATATATATATATATATATATATATATATATATATATATTATAGGTAGTAGGTTGGTAGACAGCAACCGCCCAGGGAGGTACTACTGTCCTGCCAAGTGAGTGTAAAACGGAAGCCTGTAATTGTTTTACATGATGGTAGGATTGCTGGTGTCCATTTTTCTGTCTCAAACATGCAAGATTTCAGGTATGTCTTGCTACTTCTACTTACACTTAGGTCACACTACACATACATGTAGAAGCATATATATACACACCCCTCTGGGTTTTCTAATATTTTCTTATTAGTTCTTGTTCTTGTTGTTTATTTTCTCTTACCTCCATGGGGAAGTGGAACAGAATTCTTCCTCCGTAAGCCATGCGTGTTGTAGGAGGCAACTAAAATGCCGGGAGCAAGGGGCTAGTAACCTCTTCTCCTGTATATATTACTAAATGTAAAAGGAGAAATTTTCGTTTTTCCTTTTGGGCCACCCCGCCTCGGTGGGATACGGCCAGTGTGTTGAAAGAAGATATATATATAATATATATATATATATATATATATATATATATATATATTATATATATATATATATATATATATATATATATATAATATAATATATATAATATACATATATGTACAAGGTATGATGTAGCACGTAATGAAAGTAGTTTGTTAGATTATGTATTGGTGGATAAAAGGTTGATGGGTAGGCTCCAGGATGTACATGTTTATAGAGGGGCAACTGATATATCGGATCATTATTTAGTTGTAGCTACAGTTAGAGTAAGAGGTAGATGGGAAAAAGAGGAAGGTGGCAACAACAAGTAAGAGGGAGGTGAAAGTGTATAAACTAAGGGAGGAGGAAGTTCGGGGGAGATATAAGCAGCTGTTGGCAGAAAGGTGGGCTAGTGCAAAGATGAGTAGTGGGGGGGGTTGAAGAGGGTTGGAATAGTTTTAAAAATGCAGTATTAGAATGTGGGGCAGAAGTTTGTGGTTATAGGAGGGTGGGGGCAGGTGGAAAGAGGAGTGATTGGTGGAATGATGAAGTAAAGGGTGTGATAAAAGAGAAAAAGTTAGCTTATGAGAGTTTTTTACAAAGCAGAAGTGTTATAAGAAAAGCAGAGTATATGGACAGTAAAAGAAAGGTGAAGAGAGTGGTGAGAGAATGCAAAAGGAGAGCAGATGATAGAGTGGGAGAGGCACTGTCAAGAAATTTTAATGAAAATAAGAAAAAATTTTGGAGTGAGTTAAACAAGTTAAGAAACCCTAGGGAAAGTATGGATTTGTCAGTTAAAAACAGAGTAGGGGAGTTAGTAGATGGGGAGAGGGAGGTATTAGGTAGATGGCGAGAATATTTTGAGGAACTTTTAAATATTGAGGAAGAAAGGGAGGCGGTAATTTCATGCACTGGCCAGGGAGGTATACCATCTTTTAGGAGTGAAGAAGAGCAGAATGTAAGTGTGGTGGAGGTACGCGAGGCATTACGTAGAATGAAAGGGGGTAAAGCAGCTGGAACTGATGGGATCATGACAGAAATGTTAAAAGCAGGGGGGGATATAGTGTTGGAGTGGTTGGTACTTATGTTTAATAAATGTATGAAAGAGGGGAAGGTACGTAGGGATTGGTGGAGAGCATGTATACTCCCTTTATATAAAGGGAAAGGGGACAAAAGAGATTGTAAAAATTATAGAGGAATAAGTTTACTGAGTATACCAGGAAAAGTATACGGTAGGGTTATAAATGAAAGAATTACAGGTAAGACAGAATGTAGGATTGCAGATGAGCAAGGAGGTTTCAGAGTGGGTAGGGGATGTGTAGATCAAGTGTTTACATTTAAGCATATATGTGAACAGTATTTAGATAAAGGTAGGGAAGTTTTTATTGCATTTATGGATTTAGAAAAGGCATATGATAGAGTGGATAGAGGAGCAATGTGGCAGATGTTGCAAGTATATGGAATAGGTGGTAAGTTACTAAATGCTGTAAAGAGCTTTTATGAGGATAGTGAGGCTCAGGTTAGGGTGTGTAGAAGAGAGGGAGATTACTTCCCGGTAAAAGTAGGTCTAGACAGGGATGTGTAATGTCACCATGGTTGTTTAATATATTTATAGATGGGTTGTAAAAGAAGTAAATGCTAGGGTGTTCGGGAGAGGGGTGGATTAAATTATGGGGAATCAAATTCAAAATGGGAATTGACACAGTTACTTTTTGCTGATGATACTGTGCTTATGGGAGATTCTAAAGAAAAATTGCAAAGGTTAGTGATGAGTTTGGGAATGTGTGTAAAGGTAGAAAGTTGAAAGTGAACATAGAAAAGAGTAAGGTGATGAGGGTATCAAATGATTTAGATAAAGAAAAATTGGATATCAAATTGGGGAGGAGGAGTATGGAAGAAGTGAATGTTTTCAGATACTTGGGAGTTGACGTGTCAGCGGATGGATTTATGAAGGATGAGGTTAATCATAGAATTGATGAGGGAAAAAAGGTGAGTGGTGCGTTGAGGTATATGTGGAGTCAAAAAACGTTATCTATGGAGGCAAAGAAAGGAATGTATGAAAGTATAGTAGTACCAACACTCTTATATGGATGTGAAGCTTGGGTGGTAAATGCAGCAGCGAGGAGACGGTTGGAGGCAGTGGAGATGTCCTGTCTAAGGGCAATGTGTGGTGTAAATATTATGCAGAAAATTCGGAGTGTGGAAATTAGGAGAAGGTGTGGAGTTAATAAAAGTATTAGTCAGAGGGCAGAAGAGGGGTTGTTGAGGTGGTTTGGTCATTTAGAGAGAATGGATCAAAGTAGAATGACATGGAAAGCATATAAATCTATAGGGGAAGGAAGGAGGGGTAGGGGTCGTCCTCGAAAGGGTTGGAAAGAGGGGGTAAAGGAGGGTTTTGTGGGCGAGGGGCTTGGACTTCCAGCAAGCATGCATGAGCGTGTTAGATAGGAGTGAATGGAGACGAATGATACTTGGGACCTGACGATCTGTTGGAGTGTGAGCAGGGTAATATTTAGTGAAGGGATTCAGGGAAATCGGTTATTTTCATATAGTCGGACTTGAGTCCTGGAAATGGGAAGTACAATGCCTGCACTTTAAAGGAGGGGTTTTGGGATATTGGCAGTTTGGAGGGATATGTTGTGTATCTTTATGCGTATATGCTTCTAAACTGTTGTGTTCTGAGCACCTCTGCAAAAGCAGTGATAATGTGTGTGTTTACCTGGAGTTTACCTGGAGAGAGTTCCGGGGGTCAACGCCCCTGCGGCCCGGTCTGTGACCAGGGCCCCCTGGTGGATC